TCTTTTAACTAATTTTTTTCCATGTTTCTTTTTGGCCCGCGTAGTTAGCTTTTGTAAGCGCGTGTGTGCCAGAGTTCTGATGCTGAATATCTTTAGTGGAAGTAATGGCCAAGTCGCCAAGTTGCATGCTGCAAAAGTTTGTTTAGCCTGGCTCGTTTGCGGCAAGCGAACCAAACTGCCAGAAGCCCCGAAACTCTGCCGCCAAGACGGTGCAGTATCTTTATCAGCGATGAGACTTACCCGAGTATCTGAATCATTCACAAATGAGTTTCAAATTGAATAGAAGTTTATTTAAAGAAAGGGTATATTAAATACATGAAAGCGGGTATTCACTTTAGTGGAAAAGGTATGTAGTCCTATGATTTTCACATTTTTCCATCTAAAGATTAAAGATCAAACCAGAGATGCGTGATTTCTTCCAAATAACGCATTGCGTATGTAGACTAAGACTAAGATTTAATCGCATTATATCAAACGAAACCTTACCTCAAAATACTAGTCATCATTGGCGTGATTCTCCGGAAGGTGGTGGGCAAATGATTTACCCTCTAGACAGTTCCAGTCATGACTGTTTGTATCTGCGACAGCTAGGGGAGCAGCTAAGCGCACTTGGCGCGATAACCGCGACAGGTTGATGCCGTACTTGATTACCATTTGACAATGTGGCCGGAGAGGAGCAGCGGTTGCAACTTTGGTGGCGCCAGGCTGAGGCAACACCACCGATATCGTGTTTAATTAAAACCGACTTGCGGTGAATCAATTTGTGGAATGGCCTGAAAGCATGTCACGGCCTCAAATTAGAATGGCGAAGGTCTGGGCCAGCTTACCCTGTTTAATTTTTTTTCTTGTTGCTTCTTGATGCTGAAAGAGCCAGTCCGGCAGTGGGCCATAAATTGCGGATAAGTGCCAGCATATTCAGCTGGTTTAACCCACAATTCTGGCAACTTAGCTCCAGTTAAGATAGTGTCACACAGTGAGCGAAACGTTTCGATAAGATCGGGCCACGTTAACATTGTTGTCTTCTCCATTTGCGAGTTGGCGAGGCGCACCCCCGCCATATATAGTGTACCATACTATAGTATTAAAACGAAGTGTTCACAGATACCTTTGTTTGGTACACATATCTATGACAAATGTACGATAAGCAGATACTAATTAATAACTGCCGCCCTAAGGAAAGTCTATGGTGAAATGGAGAGGGGGTACTCGTCACATGTTTACTTGCAAAAATTGTTTTCAAAAGAAAATCCCATCTAAGCAATCGATTGCACTTGGCCCAAGGGCGGGGATTGTCTTTGAAACTATATTAAATATATTTTATTATAAGTTTTGAAAAAATGAAACTGAGATATGTAGCAATAGCTCACTATCAAAAATTTCGACTTTATGACACCTCGTTTGATATTATTTTATCTCCGTAAGTTCGTCGTTTGGAAACTCTATTTTGGGAATTAAAATATCAAAAATCATGAACTGATAAATAGTAGCATGTAAATGACTTAATACCCTTAAGTAGGTCTGATTTTTTGTAAGTGCACTGGCAATTTCCATTAATTATGACCGCAGGAGGGGCGCCCCGGTTGCAGCTTCGCTGGAAAAACGTGCAAAACGTTTGGCGCTCCGGGAGATTCCAAGGCTTTAGCCAAGTGAATGATTCAAATCTCTGTATGGTGTATGGTGCATGATGGTGGAGCAGCTTAGGCGCCACCGGTGCCCAAGTGGCCGTAGTGGCACGGCAGCTGTGGTTGCATGCACCTAATCGGTCGGCGCCATCGTCATAGTTCGCCAAAGATTATCATGGGTCAAGGCAGCAACGTCTGGAATCTCGCAGCTTGGCGATCGCAGCCTGATGGCGGAACCTGCCTGCCCATCAACGCACTGCGTTCACATTCCATTAAATTAGCCGCAAAGGCAACTCCTTATTAGCACCATAATTTAGAATGCACGCCCACAGTCGCTCAACAACGGCGGCACCAAAGTGGGCGGCTACTGTGCGGTCGCCAGTTTTGTTTGCAATTTGTTAATAGGTTGTGGCATGCAGCATGTTAATACCTAATGTCGTGGACCAAGACATGGCCCAGCACCAGGAGCCGAAGCTGGAAGCTGGGAGCTGCTAGCTGCTAGGAGTTGCATGTGGACGTGGCACAAAGCTGCTGCAGCATTCTCATTAGCCATGCGGTTTGCCCGGACGACTGGCGGACCGGACCGGCTGGCTGGCAACTTAATCCTCTGGACTAGCGCTTATGCTAATGCCCCTGCCATGATGTGCATTAAATTTGCACACGGCTATGGCCAAATTAGCCAGAATTGGCCAGTTATTTAAGGCATCTATTAGTCATAAAATCGATTGCCTCGGAGTCTGTGTCTGTCTGTTTCCCTGCCCGCCTGTCGCTGTCTCTGCACTTGGGCTTGGGCTCATTCGCACGCCTCGGCCAAGTGGACGGCAATGGCCCGTACTTGACTTCTGAACCAGCGCCCACCGAGCGTGACTGGACTAGAAATGCTGGCTGAAATGGAGCCGCACCAAACCCAGACCAAAACCCCAAAACCCCCAGCAGAAAGACAGGCTTCAAACACGGCCTAAGACAACACAACATGGCACAGAAATTGGCTAGCCAAAACTAACAACAATAAGCACTGCTCCCCTTCTTGTTGTTCTGTTCAGATAGCCGATCTAAGTTGAGCGCGCTGTTTGAAATAGAATTTTTCCCACCATCTAAAAATAGACTGACTAATGCAATGAGTGTTTACATGAGGGTTGGATCTGGTCCACGACTATATAATGCTCTCCAAACACACTTCTTGAAATCCTCGAAAGTGCAAGATAAATGGGATATTTGTCGTTTATTTGTAAGCAAGATGGGCGCCCATTTATCTTCGATGTAAGTAGGTCTAAGACTTTGGATTTTAAGTACTAAAAAGTGGGAGAAAGATCTTCACTTAAATTACAATATTTTTAGTATAATGCATCCTAATACACTAAGAAAGCATTTCTATAAATATAAGTACTCTTCCCTCCTATATTTCCCTATTAAAACCCCATACTTCCTGTATAGTTAACTAAAATATTAAAAATATATATTTTAGATGTAAATATTATTAAATATTCATTTGTATTCTAGTCCTCAAGCCGCTGTTATTGTTTTCCTATATCCTATCCTCTAAGTACACCATTTCATGATGGCCAACCCGAGTTCAAAGTCTAAGCAACGCATTACAATAATTCTGGGCTTCGTGTTGGTTCTTTTGTTCTGTTTGGTTGTTTATTAATTTACCCACTTATACAAAGTTTTTGCTTGCTTGCGGTTGAAGCTGGAGTTGGCATTTATTTCATGGTTGAGAGACGTGGGGACGTGTGGGAGCCTCCGAGCGGTCGCAAGTGACTGCAAATTATACGGCCGGACCACATAATAATAAATGAAAATGTCTGTAATTCTCATGTGCAAAAGCAGAAGCCCGGGGAGCACAAATGGGCAGAAAGGAAAAACAAACGGACTGAAGCACTCGCTTATTATGCAGCTCATTTGCGAAGAGGAGCCGGCGATTCCCGCGGTCTATATGCTCCCTGTCTTTTTCTCAGACTCTATCCCTTTCTCAGTCTCAGGCCCAGTCTGGGGAATCGGAAGTTAAGCTAAACAAATAAGCGGCGTGTAAATGAACTCTGCAAGGGGTTGGCTACTGGGCTGACCCATTATTGTCCGCCTGCCTGCTCTCAATCGATAAAGAAAAGTGCTGTTGAGGGAGTTGAGCTTACTCGTACATGAGTACGGGTATTTGGGTTTTTTAGCACCTAAACCCCAAGACCGGGAGCCGTTTGATAAATACACAACGGACAGCTGTTCGGGCATCTATCATATGGTAGGGCTTACCGTATGACATGGGAACATCCGGTGGCTGGAACCCAACGATCAGCCCTCGCCCTCGCCAGGGGTTCAATAAACTTGTTGAGCCTCAAAAGTTTCAGGCCTGGAACCTGCCAGTGAACGAATTTTTTAACTTGCCTCCTCCAAAAGGGAAAAGTCTGGAGGTGGGCAAAAAAAGGCTAACCAAATCGAAAATTGTGAGTGGCCAATGGCCAGTGGCCAGTCTGAAGTCTGAATCCCTCACTGTGGGCCAGCGATACACTTAATTTTGACAGATTACATCTCATTATGTACACCTCGGGGCCAAAATGCAAGGCAGGCGGTTAAACAAGTTCGACTTCCAGGCCGAACACCCCGAGATTGATGGCCAGATATTCGGTTTGCATAGTAATGCGGCCTGCCACAGCATCAAATCGAATTGATCCAAGCCATGGACACTGGAAATTAATTCCCGTTCTCGCCAAAGAGAAGGCGAAGGCGAAATTATTTGGCATCCATGCCATCCATGATCGCAGCAAAAGAACTAGCTTTTCACATTGTTTATTGCACAGCGAATTGGAGTTCATTTATAAGGCAATTTAAAATCAATTTACGTGTTGCATGTGCCGTTAATTTATCAACAGCGACCAGTCCCTGGAAATGCTATAGCTGGGATAGCTGGGATCCCCGACAGAAGTAGTCGAGGAGCAACCCGAAGACCGCGACTTTTCAACAGTCCCATCATGGGCAATTAATTAAAAATCGAGCAGACAGTGAAAACGCTCCACGAAGTGAAGGGGCGTGCTGGCATTATGATTTTTTCATTGATACAAATATCGCGGGATGTCTGCTTCTGGTTGCCCCATCATCGCCGCCAACTTGTTGCCCCAGCATGCACTTTCCCATTCCCATCCCCAGACCTATTCCCAATCCCGCCTCCGATTTTTATTGCCCGCCTGCTTCTAATAGGAACAAATTTATCAGCTCTGTACGTGCGTTCGACTTAAGTTGGGAGGTAGTGGTTTAGTACAAACTCAACGCGGCGCATATCAAAATAGGTATATAATATATAATTTATTAGAAACAAATACAGACTACATAACACGTTCGCCGCGACCGGAGCAGGGAGAAACTATCACCTGTCGGGACTTCTTTAGGCTGACTTAGTCTAGGGCTCTATTGCATAATGAGGTATAGGATGAGGATGCTCCAGGATCACAGTATTGCTCTATGGCCGGTCGCACCTCAGAGGCAGTAGACCAAGGTCCAGAACAGGGCATTGAACACGATGAATGCCAGCGGAAAGACGAATCGCATCTTCCTGTCGATCCACAGGGATACCTCCTTGGGGGTCATGGTGGCGAAAGTTTGTGGGGGTTTCTCCTTCGGCGTTTCGCCCGACGTGCTGCTGCTGGAGCTCTCGTCGTGCTCGTCCAAGCTGATGGCGGAGTCTTCCCGACTGAGACTTCCTCCTATAATAATCGGGGTCTCAATGGTTATGACAGTGTTGTTGGGACCCAAGCAGGACTTGTCCATGCTAGTAGTGCTCATGGTGCTCTCCGTGCGTTTATATCCATGTCGGCGATGCTTCTTTATGTGGGGCACAAAAGTGGACTTGACAATGTACTTGGTGGAGCGCTTCTTCAACTCCAAATTATTGTTTCTCCGGAAGATGGTGTTCACAAAGGCAAACTCCACTAAGCTGCCAAAAATGAAGATTGTGCAGACCAGGAACCACACTTCTGACATGGTCACATAACCCGTCTTTGAGAGATTGGCCTCCTGGGACAGTGACAAGGTAATGAAGGATAGCAGAGTGGTGCATCCTAAAGTGGTTCGGGCAGGCGTTTGATCCGCCTGAAGCCAGAAGGACACCCACGAAATGCACACTATCATTATGGAGGGCAGGAAGTAGTCGATGACATAGTACCCCACTTCCCTGGTCAGCAAGATGCTGAACCGGATGGTACTGTAGTTGCCCACCAAGGCGCCATGGCTCATGTGGCTACCATTGGAAATACGGATGGACTCGTTGGTTAAAGAACCAATCAGGTTATATTCCGCCAGTTGCATCTCTGTGTCAAAGGTCACAGCGTTCTCAGTCTCCCAGTGAAGTTCCACCAGCGTATTGTTGTACATCCAGCTCTCCAGGATCGTGGTGCAAGTCTGATCGTCAAACGGGAACTTTGCAAAGTTCATCCAACAGTACAGGGTAGCCTGTAGCCGTGTGGATATTATAACTGTCCCATTCGGATAGATGGTAGTCAGCTCGTCAGGTGAGCTCGTTCCCAGGACACTGGACGTCTGTTCGTTGGTTAAGAATATGTGCGGCACCCAGATCATCTTCTTTAACGAACTCTCACCCATGATCGGTTGATCTCGGTTGGGAACCAGGCTGGAAAAGGCCAGTCTGGGGTCATGGTAGCGCAACTGCAGTAGGCCCTGGACCATAAACTGCAGATTGCTCGACTCCACGTTCTTCATCACGTAGATATAGAAGCGAGTGTACACGCCCAGGGGCTGCTCCACGCCATCCTTGTTGTAGGATATGGGGGGATTCAAATTATCGTACCGACAAGAGTCGGTCAGGCGCTTGATTAGCTCCATTTGAGACAAGGACTCTGCATTGCTCAGCGAAGGACAGTCACTGCTGCTGGACTCTGTCAGGTTTATGGATAAACTGTAGGTATTTGAATTGTTCGAAGGGGCCAAGAGCACCGATCCATTGGCAGCTGAAAAGAAATTGTGAAATAAATTAAAATGAATCAATATTATAGTTGACTGAAGGATATTATAAATGACAGAAAGTAAAATAAATTCGCTTTAAATATTGGCGTATAAATTCGCGAGTGCTTTAAATTTGATCGATACGTTTTTAAGCGATGGAAGATATTAAGTATTAAATCGACAATGTCAAATTGTGATAAATTAGGAAATACCTAAAGAAATACTTTCCTTTAAATATAATTTTATACGTTTATTGTAACTTTTTTAAAATAAATGTTATATTGTCTATCCATATTCTAGTGGACTAGTACTCTCGAGAATTTTCCACAATTGCGTAATAAAAATCTCTATAAATGAGCGAAAATTTCACAATATTCGAGCCAATTATAAGGATAACTGACGTATCCTTAATGCCGAAAATAAAAACACACTACCATAGCTTCTAGAATATTATGCAAAAAACTGACATCCTTATTGAATAAAAAGGATATGTGTCTCGACAGGACCTTCAAACCTACCCAAATTCAATCCAGTATCGCTTAAACTTAGAACTCCCGCTGCGGTTAATCCAAAGTAGCTGAAAAGTGTCAAGAATCCGGGAATATCCATTTTCCACTTAGTCATATTTTGCACCGAACTCCGGACTAATCACGGGACTTAATTAGCAATTTCCTTGGAGTGCGATTCGATTTCCGACGATTTTCTTTTAGGCGCGCTACGGTTTCACGGCCAGCCGCCTGGCCTTTTCTCGATGAACTATTTGGCGACAAGTTCGCGGTCGCCTGTCCAGTCCAAAATCGGATGTCGGACGGGTTCGGTTTAGGGTTCGGGCCCGTGGAGCGGTTCGTTCTACGTAATATCTATTACTAACTTATTTATTTTAATTGCGAGCGGCTTTTAATTCTTTGCCACCCATGACAGCTTGTTCGGGCAATTATTGTTCGGCCTTTGTGCCGGTGGCACTGACAATGGCTCATGGCTCCTCCTCCGTTGGCTCTTATCATTTTTGGCTAAAATCGGCTGTAAGCAAAGTGGGGGCTTTTTCGTCAGCCGCCGTGTAATGCCCTTAATTGTGGCTATCACTGCCGCGGGAGAGCGCGCGAGAGCTGACTGGGAATACGAAATGTTTGCTCATGTCTCGGCCTTTTGATTAAGTGGCCAACGCCGGTGAGTGGGCCAACAACAAAAAAATACAGCAAGTGACTTGTCGAAGCGATTTTTATTATATTTATATAGTATACCCCAAAGATATACGCTGTCGTACTTCAGTTAACGGAGGCGATCGCATAATTGATGATGACCCGATGTCAGAAGCGGTTTGCTGGCGATTTATTTTTGGCACAAGAATTTTTGCAATTGTCCAGCAACAACTAAAGCTGATTTGATTAGCTAGCGTCGGTTATCCAACGGATGTTGACGAGTGCTTTGTTCTAGGGCCACCCATCGAAATCTGCTAGCCAGAATAGAAAAATCTGGAACTCAGAGGAAAAAGTGGAGTTGAATTTCACTTTTACCCAGCATCTCAAACATTTTCTTTGGCAGTTGAAATGTAACCTCTACGATCCCCAACTCCTGGCAGGGATTCCCGTAATGCCAGCCCCTCATCAGCACTTTAATCAAGCGTTTGCAGGCATTGCCCGCCCACTTTTCCGAAGAACAACACCATCGCCGCCCGCTGTTTTGTTCATGAGACCCATAAAAATTTATGGCTACAAAACAGATCCAGACAGAAGCAGACAAAACTACGTCGGAGTGCATTACGCATGACTGCATCCACACCTCTCCCCGGGATGTCTCTCTTTTCAGTTCCCCCGTAAGAATTTTGGTCGTTAATGCACTCGGAAGATTTTAGTTCCTCAAGAGGCACGTGGCACATGGGTTCTCATCCCCATATCGATGAAGATAGCTGCAAAATGGGCGCAGATTGGGCTCTTCTCAACTCTGAAAAGGATGGGTATATTAAGTGTTTACCATGTTTATTAAACGGTAGATGTCTTAGGTTTATAGTATAGGTCATAGGGACAAGTGGTCTGGAAAACTACATAAATATTGTTTTATATATAATTCCAAGTCGAAGAATTGCAAGCCAATATAATTACCTTTACAGCTAGGCAGATACGTCATTATTATTAGAGTATCCAACCAATTGAGTTGAAAAGCACCTGAGCACTAACAAGACAAATTAAAAATGTTTACAGTCTCATTTTCACAACACTTTACTGTGATTTTGCTGAAAGTGGGCGTGAAAGTGGCGTTGATTAGATAGAGCCTAACCCAACGACTGCCAATGATTTATGGTTGTGGGTGGGGTGGAGTGGGCGGCAGGTGGGGCAGCAGTAGTTGGCCTCTTCAAATCAATTAAAATCACTCACTGTCCTGCGTTGAGCAGCAGGCCATGTAAGTGCAGAAAATCCCTTCAACAATTTAATCACCCTTTTTCGTACCCGTACTCAACTCGTCCTCCTCGTTCATATTTCATTTTTTGTGTACCATGCTTTTTGTTTTGTTTGCCCGAAGTCCATGCTGGCGCATTAATTTAAGCCGCCTGGAACATAAAAGCTGCTCGCAAAACTAAGCCGATTTAAGAGCACATTTGAATTCAAATGCCGCTCGGCGAAATAAAAACTAAACGGATCCCTTTCCCAGTACCGCCACAACCTGGAGCTAACCAATGCCAGTTTAAATGGCACAAAAACTGTCTGCAAAGTTTGCGTCTGAAGTTTTTAGTTTTGGGCAAATGCAAAAATTATAATCCTTTAAACGGCAATCGAGCGTTGTGCACCGCCCCGAAGATTAAGCCCGAGAAGTGCTTTGTAATTATGCCCTGTAATTGACAATAAAAGGGGATTGGTAGACATTATGGTTAGATCATTAATATTTTTACATCAACACGAAAGACAATATCAAAACAACTTTATTGATTAAATCTTAGAAAATAAAAGATAAGGAGTGGGAGGTTGTTGTTTTCTTAGAAGTCTTAAGCTTTCTACATAGACGTTACAATTAATTCCATGAAAAAAAATCTTATCTCACCTGCAGCTTTTATTGCTTTTAATTTTTAGCGGGTATTACCCCGTCGAGCTGGTTTAGAGAAAGAGGTGAGTAATAGTCGCTTTTGTAATTGTTTCAGGGGGCGGGGAAAACCGCCATACCAATTAAGCCTGGCCAGACTGGCAGCAGACGATGCTGGACCAGGTTGACATTGGTCACTGGACACAATGGCACATAAATCACACGAATCGCCGGACAAGGACACCGTGTCCTGGCGTCTTGCGAGCTGGGTTGAGTGCTTGTCATGCATTTGATTCTGGACGCTCGTTTATTTCCAGTTGCTCAGCTTTTTACAACTGTTTCAGCTGGTGTTTTTCTGATTCCATTTCATTTTATTATTTCTGCAGATTCTCGCTGCTTTTATCGTTTTTTGTGTGTGCGGAAGGCGGAAGCCGGCAGCGCTATTTTCCGCTTTTCCTTTTGGCCTTTTGGGCTGCCCTCCTGCTTTGGCCCGCTTCGATTTGGCTTTCTTTGTTTCTGGCTGGTCCTCCATTATTGTTTCCTTTGATTTATTTTCGGTTTCAAGTGATTTCCGCCAGCATTCAACACTTTATGTTTGCTCTCTGGGTTGTTTTCGTCGGTTTTTCACTTTTTTTCCGAAGTCATTTTCCTTTTTTTGGCGCTTTTCTTGTTGCATTTTAAGCAAAACTCAGTGCCAACATTTGTCATTTGAGGGTTTGTGTTGGATTTCCATTGGGGGTCTCCGGTTTTTGGTTTTTGGTTTTTGAGGTTTCGGGGTTTCCTTTTGCACTTTTGCATGGCTTTTGATTTGCGGTGCTTAATCGTTTGCAACGTCTGCGGATTTCGCTTGGTGTTTTTTAAATGCAGATCTTGAACGCCAGCTTTCTGGCCATAAATTTGTTTGGCTCTCCTTGAGAGCTGTGTTTTTTTTTGGTAGCCAGAACACGTAATTGAAAGCAGCAGGGCGGCAGTGGATTCGGCTAATGGCCATTTCAGTGAGCCAGTTTGCATTTTTGGTCCAAACTCAACTCGGTTCAATGGCATCGCCTGCACAGAGGCTATTGATTAAGGTACTGTCTTTCGCTCCCGGCTGGTGGCTTACCAAAAACTGGCCTCGGGCAACCTCTTCGGCTGCCTTGTAATCTGTCAAAATTGGCAGCATTCTGCTAAGCGGAAGTTCGCACAAAAAATGTGCCACACTAAACTGGTTATTTAATGGTATACTCTTCTGCCCAGATCCCAGTACCCAGCACCCAGCTCCCTGGTCCCATCTCCCAGTTCAATGTCCTCGGTGGGCGTGTCGATTGACTTTGAAGTCCGCCTGACTCCTCGTGCTTTTTGAGTTTTTCCATGGGAATGGCTTAAACTGGCACTTGAATGAAGCCAGTCTCACACACTAATCTCACAGTTGAGAGCATTTGAAACCGAAAGTTTTAGTCCCGGCCTGGCAAACAATAATTATTATAATCAACTTTTACACAGAGTCAACGACATTATCTGCGAGTTAGACTCGTTTGCAGTTGTAATTGATCGCGGGACGACAAATATTTATACAGAAAACCGAGTCCCAGACAGACAGCAGTATCTCTAAGCTGCACAAATAAACACCGAGAGCAGCAAATTCGTATTAAGCGATCAACAATCATTGTAAATACGCCAATGTGACGCCGGCGGCGATAAGGCCAGAAATATTAACGCACCAAAAGGAGGCAAGCAGCAGGAGGAGGAGGACCACAGACATGGATATTCGAGCCGAGGCCAAGACTGGTTTGGGCCTGGCTTGTTGCAGATAAACAATAGAAAAGCATAGACGGAAGGGTCAAACGCTCGGGGCTGTGGAAACCCAAGATATCGGGCCAGGGCGTTCAATGCAACAGAAACCACAGAGATGGGCAGGAGGATGCCCATTGCCGATGCCCAATGATGATGATGATGAGCATAGCAAATACAAATTATGGTAGAAAAGCGCTACGTAAATACTGCAATCATTTTAATAGACCAAAAACGGCGGCGCATAAGCCATAAACCAAACGCCAGTGCCCCCACCACAGAGCTTGGACCTCAGACGGAGTCTTGGCCTCAGAGTAAGTGGCCGAAAGCGGACAGCCGAATGTTTCTATGACTAGTCATGGAGGATGTACCCTAATTTGTTGAAAGGGTATCTTGAAATTTCAAGTTTAAAGATTTTTGTTAAGGAGTTGTTATGTGACTTTTTGTAACCAATTATGAAAAATATAATATACTTCTTTAACTTCAGAATTAAAAATCAATTAAGAATAGATTTTAATATATAAGAAGAAAGGGTACTTAGTATTGGCTATTACCATTCTATGAGAAATTGAAGGCGTTTTGAGTACTAGGCAATGGGAGATGCTAAGATGTTGCAATGTTGCAATGTTGCAACAAACTGGCACGCGAGCAGCGAAAATTGCAGACAGCAGATGAGGCGGTTTCCTCCTGCACTTGCCCAAGTTTAGCTCCGAAATTAGCGTAGATAAATATTTTTGCGGAAATTCTCCAGTCGATGACCACTGATCGGGTCGGGTGTATTGTGTGCTTTTGAAGGATTTCAGAGTGGGAGAATGCGAATTCCGATGTGTCTTGATCACTTGCGGTTTACAAATTACAGGCAAAACGCCATGGAGGAGCATTTGTCTTCGATCGCAGCGAAAGGGGCTCGTCGGCGGTCTGGGGGGTGATGGCTGTCGGTTTCATGGCCGTCTGATGGATAGACAGCTACAAGCGCACTTAATGTGTTCCGCAGTCGTATCTGTATCTTTAGCTATCACTCGCGCGTAATGCCTCAGCGGCGTGCAAGATACAAAGCAGATGCTGACTAACCCCAGTAGTGGCCCCCTCCTCCTCCGTGTACTGCTTACTTTCCCCCTGCCCCGGAGCTCATCCAACTCCGACTGCCGCCCCTGTGGATGTCAATTTTGAAGCATTTATTTTCGTAGTCTTTGCCGGCCGCCTGGCTCTCTCCAAATCCCCCACCATCCCCCATCATGCTCGCAGTGGAGTTGGTCTCTCCCAGTGTGCGCATGCGTTCTCCAAGTCTCCACAGTTTGTGGTTTGTTTTGCTCCACTCATTCGTAACATAGCTAAGAAGAGAGGCATTCCAATTGCATAGTATCTTGTATCTCATAAGTTTTAGAGATATCTGTTATCTTTGGGATAGTTTCAAACTTATTAGGTATTTTAATAAGGGAATGCCGATAAAGAGCCAATAGACTTCAAGTTAAGCAAACTAAAACCTCAAGACAAACTATAAAAGTCTGTTTAAACTGAAAAATCAACCTGAAGACCTTAGGTAGAGGCATTATGATTGTGGCACTACCGAATCAATCGAGCCTTAGACGGAAATTCTATGACAGCTGAGTAGATAATTCCATCAAGAATTTAGTTCAGCCTATGGAAAACACCATTAGGCGCATCTAAGTTCCAGGAAATCGTCGAATATCAGTCGTATAAGTGTCCGTTATCAATCAAAGTTGCTGCCGCTAATTCGGCGATTTAAAGTTGGTTTCGGAAGCAAAACTTTCCTAAGCGCTTCTTAATGCCAACCCGTTTACACGTGCTCGCTCGCTCAGCGCTCTCTTAGCGGCTATTCTCCACCGGGCCCAGAGCACAGATACACCGACAGCCGGCGTTTTAAAACTCTCCAAAGTTGGCGCCAAAATATCCCGCCTACTCCACCGACTGCCTCGCAGCAACACCATCCACACACAGTCGCACACATCGAAGCGCTCCACGACACAGGTTCCACAGGGGGCTCAGCAGCGCGGCTCCAAGTCGCATTCCGAGCATTTGCTGTTGGACCGTCGCACGTATCGCACGCTTACAGCGGAAGTATCTCGGTCCGGTGTATCGGAGTATCTGTCAGTATCGGATTCGTATCGGAGCCAGCTTGGGCCTTCATTCGTTGGGGTTTCGGCTTTCGGTTTCGGTTTTTCGGTCGGTTTGGTCCGCTTGATCGGTTGGCTGGATAGTTGCAAGTTGCAAACTCAGTGGTTTTCTCGGCTGTTGCATTTGCATTCGGCAGCTGGCCGCGATTGATGACTGAAGGACTGACTGTCCGTCAATGGACACTTGCCGCAGCGGTCTCGGTCAGTTAGGTGGCAACAGTGCAGTCAAGTCCGGCGACCTCTGACCCCTGACATCGAATATAAACCTCTTGACAATCAAATTTTGTGCTGCCAGTTTATTGGATTTGAAACCCAGCGACCGGGAGGGATTTTATGGCGGTCCCTTGACCAATTCTAAACGTAAAATAAAAACCATCAAAGAGAAACAAGCCAACGGAGAAATATATCAAATAAAAAGTTCAATTTCGCTGCTTTTATTTTTTTGAAGCTCCTCTGTTTTGCCGGTTTTCGGTTTTGAAGCGATTTTCGGTCCTGAGCTTGTCGTCGTATCGTCGTCGTCGGCGTTGTGTGCACGGGCTTCATAAATTATACAAGAGCGCATTTTGCGAACGACTTGCAAATAAATAAGCATTTACGCTTTTATTATTGCCCGCCCGCAATCCCCGGACGCGGAGTGTGTGTTTTACTGTGAGAGTGTGTGCGGGTTTGGGGCTTGAGTTCCTTGGAAATCGCTCCCATGTGGCGCAAGCCGGAGGAATAAAATAAAACCAGCCAACAGCTAGCAGCAAGCAGCGGTGGAGCAGCCACTTAAAATATCATTTTTTGCATACAATCATCATATATCTATAAATGTGTACGCCGTCTATACATGTATATCGAGATCCGCTCTGATTTGTGTGTCCTGATAACGACGATTCCCCCCCAGTGATTGCCTGCATTAAAACAAACAAATAAAATTGCATGAGTGTGCGGGGCGAAAATCCCATATAAAGCTATCAAGCAGGTAAGCAAAGGCGAAAGGCCTCATATGTATAACTCAGCATGTCTCTCACACGCACATTGAACTTCAAACTGAGCAGCTGAGCTCTGAACACTGAACACCGAAAGTGCAATGACATTTGCCCATATTAACTCACACGACGGCACTCCCATCAAGACGTCATTATGCAAATGTGTAAATAGCGAAATGAACAGCCGTGTGCCTGCATCCTGATTCAGCCTCATTCTCATCTCCATCCTCCTCATCATCGTCGTTTGCATCCTCAACGATCTGCATAATTAGAGCACAGCGGCAATATTAGTACTCCCCGTCTCTCGGGTATCTGGTGTATCTCTGTGACCGTGTTGGGTGTCTCTAACTGGCTCTAATGAATAAATAAGTGCCACTAATAGTTTTCGCACTTCCTGTTGTCAGGCGACCGGCAGCTCATCAAATTGCACTCAGGCTCATCTGGTCCTGCACAGTGAACAATTTTGGCCAGTATTTCTAAGCAATTTTATGATAAATTCTTAGTAAAGTAAAAGAATCTTATAATTCCCAATCATGATAATAATATAAAAGACTCTTAAAAGTTTTTCTTTCGGTGCCTTTTCCAAGAATAGAAACATAACAGCCAAGTTAACAAGAGCAGCATCAATAGCATAGAATGGCTGAAACATCTGCGGCAGCAACATTGCAGTCTCCATGTTGACAATATTTAATTATGAAGCAGCAGCAACAGCTATATCCTAACTGTCTCGCTTCCATATTTCCACTGTCTCTTCAAAGTTCTGTGGGCTGGCTAAGTGAATTGCTTTATTGTGGACTGTTGCAGTCAAAGTTGCTGATGTTGCCGATGTTGCTGTTGTTTCCCTGGCGCTCGCCGCTGTCATCGTCAACGTCATCATCGTTGTCATAATCATTTTCGTTGCTCTTTCCCACACAAATCGGCAAAAAAATTGTTTTCATTTTCTGCATTTACTTATTTTGCCTTTAAAAGTCCAACTCGACGAGGGGAAATAAATTTTTTACTTTGAGAAATTCTCAACAGTTGCCATAGCAAATGTTTTTGCAATTATTTTAGAAAATATTGTTATTGCCAACTTTCCCATTCCGACTTTAAAATTGCTTTTTCGGAAATTTCTTTTATTAGATTCGGATATGGGAAGGAATTAGATTTGATTGCTAGTTGAAGTTTGAAGTCGAAAACTGGGAATCAAATGGTCTAGGCCATCGCTCATCGTTCACATAACTGCGACTCTTTGTCACACATTTTATCGCTTGCTTTCTGCATGCCAACTTTGTATTTGCACCTCAAACAAAAACATTTCCTGTACAACTATTTTGTGCAACGGATGCCACTCCAAGCCCCGCGTCCAAGTCGCCAACCCTCCTTCCGACTTTGGAGCAACTGGCCCATCATAGACACGCAGATAGGCATCAGATAGAACGCTCGACTGACACGGACAGCGACGAGAGCCGTGCAATGACTTGCGCAAATACATAACTAAAGTCGGGAAAAAAATGAACACAAAAATAAATAAAATTTTTCAAAGAATTTCTGACGGGGGGGAACCGAGCGACTTCCTCATTTGCTTATCAGGCCAGAGGGAATCACAAAGGAGGCGGTCGTTTGGTGGGCTTGGGGCTCGGTGGGTTTGGTGGGGAAGATGGCTGCGCTTGATTTCACTCACGCAGACTCATCAACTTTTAATTAGTTGTAATTTGTGAATTCAACGTCAAACACCGGCCACGCAGTCAGTCAGAAGATGTCGCCGCCTTTGAAGCTGCCGCCACTACGTGGCAGTTGGACGATGATGATGTTGCCATCGCCGTCGCCGTCGCCTTCGCCTGTGCCGCTTTGTTGCCACACTGACAGATTGCTGATAAAAGCCTCCCCAATCCCCAAGCCCACTCTCGAGCGCATGGTTAACCCTTTCAGCCGCCTCTAATCGCCGGCCAAAGTCAAGCCAACAGTCGCGGTCGCTCCTCCGCAAAACTCAAAATACAAAACGCCCATCCATCAGCGATGAACGGCAGCTGTCAGCGGGTTCTGGGGCTCTGGGGCTAAAAGGATTGGCCTCGCCCCTGACAATCGAAATTGGCCAGACATTTGACAAAACAGTTTCGGTTATAAATGATTCTTTGATGGTCATAAACGATGCTTAAAATGAGAAATTGATTGCGGGTATTGGATCTGGGGACAGGGGGGAAGCCAAAATCATTTCGGATGTCACATTAACCAGCCAGACAACACATTTTAAAGCACTTTTAAAGCCACACCACAATAAGTTGTCTGCGCCTGGGAGTTAAATGGGTGTTGGGAGTTTCCCATAACCCTAATCGCTCCTGGGTGCCGTAAATCAACTCGACTGATTCCCATCTCTACTCGGAGGAGGGCAATAAAATAATGCTCCACCAAATTACTTCAGGTTTTTGTATCCGCTTTTTTAATTAGTGGCATTATAAATGTGGATATACTAAAACCAAAAACTTTACGAGCTAATTTTATGGCTCTTGCAAATTTATAGACCTTTGGCTCATGTGACACAAAACTAACAACTAACAACAGCAGCGGGAAAAGCAGCAGCAGCAGTGGAAGTACATAGCAGTAGCAGTATCAGCAGCACCAGCAGAAACTTTTCTAACAAGCTCTATAAATCCCCTTTTAGAGTCGAGGCACTTAATTAATTTCTGTAAAAACTTTAAGAACAAAGGGCTGTTCGCAGTTGCCGTTGATGTTGCTGCTGATGTTGCTGTTGCTGCTGCAGTTGTTCGGTTGTTCGTTTGTTCCGCTCAGGTCCTAGCCTAGTTGTTGCACGTTAATTTCCAATTTGAAGCGAAAAGAAAATAAACTAAAAAAAAAAGTGTACAAGTAATGTCATACGTAGAAGCAACAAAATCAAAGCCCAAAGACGCCAAAACCAACAACAAAATCAACGACAACGACAACTTCGACGTCGGACAACAACAGTAGAACTAACTGCAAATTTGCAGTCAAAGCATTGAATAACCGAGCCCGAGCCCGTGAAGCTTGCACCAGTTTTCCAACTGCAGCATCAGCCGCTCTTGAGCTTGTTGTTGTAGTTACCTGGAACAGTTACCTGGGCGCTAAACAAAAAAGAAAAAGAAAATCAACGAAAACATTGTGAAAAACTGCGCACAGTAAACAACTAAAGCTAAACACTGAACAGAAAATTTCATCTCAGAAATTGTTTATTTGAACTTCAAAAATATATTGATTCAATGCTACACCTGTGTTTTTGATTAAAAATTATTCATTTAATAACTCCCTAGGCTATAAAAGTCATTTTTCTTTAGAGATCATTTTTTTTTTTTAATGTTTCAACTTGTGTTGAATGCTGGTGCGGCAAGGAAAGGCTTTAGAAAGTAGCCATAGGAGGCAGAGGAGATAGATTGAAGGAAACCCGTTGGCAGCCGCTTGGCTCACTTCGCCTTGCGTGATGCAATTGCCGGGGCCGTAGCCGGAGCCGGAGCGCCAAAAGATTGAAAGCAAACGACAGCCACGTAACTAGAACACTTGACGGTGCTGCTGCGGATGCCTCTGCTGCAACAATTTCCAATTAAAGCAGTTACTGCAGCTTCTGGGAGTTGAAGTTTGAGTTTGGCGAGTTGCTTTGGGAACTCAGAGCTGGGAGTTGGCAGTTCGCTTATGTGTCGCTTGCGCAATCATCATGCAGCCACTTCTGACAGCTCCAACTGCTCCGACTGCTTCTATTTGATTTTCTATTGGATCGGTACGGCACAGCTTGACTTGGCCTGGGCTGGCTTCTGGGCTCTGGCCAGTTTCTTGCGACAGGAAGCCATCTGTAATGGGCCTTAAAATACACATTTTATGCCCAGCTAACCATCCCCAATTAGAGCTTTGGGCTAATTGCAGTGACGCATAGTTGCTCATTACGTTTTCTGGCATTTCCCGCACCCCATCTGGCCGGCTGGCTATCCATTCATCCAGCCAGTATGAAGTTAGATGGGACGCTCCCAGTTGAAAAAAGTCGGAAGCTAACGGCTCGCAGCGCGGTTCAAAGCTAATTGATCATTAGGTCTATTTCCGCAGTGAGATGGCAGACGTGAAGTTGGCATTTTCAACGAGTTTTTTACCTTTGGCTAGTTTATTTTTTATATAAGTAAGTCATAAAGTGGCAACTTTTATGACAACAGCATAGCGCATGTTGCACGCAATCCTGGCAAAGCCGAAATTCTTCCTAGGGAGTTTTAGCTTTTGCCCAGGGTTTGAGCTGGGTTGGGCCTTGGGCCAGTTCTCTATAAAGCACATTTCCTCGCATCGACAGTGGCAATAGTTTTTTATAGGTTCTATAAAGCCAAGAACGCAACAACAACACAAAATGGACAGCAGCAACAGAAGGCCATAAAAGAAAATATGCTGCATGTAAGAAACTGAAAAAAGACTAAAGAACTGGGTGAAATCGATTTGTATACGGTATGTAGTTCTTTATTACAGTTTTTCAAGTCCGATGAAGTCTTTTGTAGAACTCAACCGAAGAAAGAAAAACCTGCTGTAGTGGGTGGGGAAAATGGGCTTTGCTTTTCTCTATCCCGTTGATTGATCATCTAGAAGATACCATTGTGGAACGGGGCTAGAGGAAAGGAAAGACGAGTAATCGGAGATTACTTAGAAGAGTTGCGTGGTCCAAGACAGTGACTAGACAAAAGCCATAACTACTTGAATTTGCACAGAAAACTGACTATTGGATGGGTCTTCATCTAGTCTGGTAAGAAGCGTAAAATCATGCTAGCTTAGACCACAATTTGCTTTAATTTTTCGCTGTGCATTCAAGGAGAACGCTAGTGGCTGGCTACCCACCTCGAGATCATTCGAACTCCAAAGCATCAGCGTTGACTGATAGATTTCCCGACAGTCACTGACCCACTGCCCACATGCAAATGAATCGAGTCAGAGTCGAGTATCTCACGGATACACGCGCCATGTATCTGCAGCGCCGAGCGGCAGACCGGTGCAGATGCTGGAGTGGGGCGCTGGG